CTCACCCCCTATGTACTGCTTCAAATGACCTTGACAGATGAGGGACTCAACTTCATTCTTCAACTCATAGTAGTCCTCAGTGTCATAGTTGGTGTCACAGTGATACTTGTAGTACTTCTTCAGGTTTCCCCTCTTGGGGTTCCTCTTCATTTTCTCTGGCCACTTCACGTACTCCTCTTTCCCTACTTGCATGAGGATCTGTGTTCAAGTGAAGTTGAGTGGCGTGTATTTGCTGTAAGCCAGGGCCGAGGTCAGTGGCTTCTTGTTGTCCTTGTTGCTGTTGTTGTTGTTGTGGCTATCTCCATTTCTTCTCTTCTTTGGGCCTCTGTGATGGTGGTCGGCCTCTCCTTTGTCTTGGCTACCGAGCACTTGAGGGCTGAGCCCGATAGGAGGCCATTGATGGCGGCGTGCATGGAGACCATGGAATCGGGGTCCTAGACTTCGAGTTCTTCCATCTTAAAGCAATCGATGTAGGACCGTAGGCTCTCACCGTGCTTCTAGTTGACGGCCATGAGAGAGATGACACTCTTCTGGCATTGCTTGCTGCTGATGAAGTGGGCGAGGAAGAGGTTGGCGAATTGTTCCCATGAGCCGATGAACCGAAGGGGAGTCCGAAGAACCATCGGCGGGCTGCCCCCTTGAAGGTCGCTTGGAAAGTCTGGCACGTCAGGGCGTCGGAATATCCATAGAGGAATATGAACGCCTTGAAACTTTCCAAGTGATTGTCCGGGTCTGTCGTCCCGTCATACATCTCGAGTGCGAGCGCTTTAAAGTGCGGTGGGAGAGGTTAAGAGATAATGTCAGGGGTGAAAGCGTCCATTCTCCCAAACGGAGGGTTTTGGCTGCCGAGGCTTCGGCTTGGCTCTCCCTAACTTGGCGAAACTCGTCCTTGATGGTGTCGAGCTGTGCTTGCAGGTCAACGATTCTTTGGTCAAGGGGAGCTTGGGCCCCGTCCTAGTTCTCTTGGACGCGGTGTGGATCAGTCTAGTTCCCCGAGTACGCTAATGTGGGCGTGTGTCTGTGTCCTCTGACCCGCCTGTCATTCAGGAGGTCTCGGAGGTTCGAGATGCGGGAGGGAGAGGCACAGTGTCGGTCCTCAACCCTCAAAGGGGGGCTGTGGTGGCCCGACCGCCATCCTTCATCCTGGGAGTCTTCTCTTCGGTAGTAGTGGTGTTCTTGGTCTCGGCGATAATCGTGAGACTCTGCAGATTCGTCCCTTCCTTGACTGGGAGGTCGGAAGGTCCTTGGCAGTTGGCTAGCACATCCGCTGAAGCTTAGGAGTTATTGCTTGAGTTTCTTAGAGTAAATTAAGTTAAGGGAAGTCGTAGCAACCATTCCCACAAACGATGCCAATTTTTGTTGGGGAAAGTAGGCTGAGGGCAACATAGTAAATTCTCTTCCAAGCTGAGGCATGGTTGAGTAGTCTGAGGCCTAGGGGCAGCCAAGTGTCATGGGGTAGTTCTGTAGCGGAAGAAACCCGTGCGGCATCCAGGCCAAGGCCAGCCAGGACAAGCCTTATGTGTGCTTGGAGCTAGGAGTTGCCCGATGTGATGGCTCCACCAAGTTCAGTAGCACTAGATCATGACCTCAGTTCGCATGGTCGGGGCTCTCTGCTGGCTCTAACCGGACCATGGGAGGCACCTCTTACGTGCTAAAGGGGGACAACCATGATGAGAGGCAACTAGGCGCCGATGAGAGGGACTCCTGTATGCCGATCATGTAGGCACCTGATGTGTCGATGATGATAGGCAACCGCTTGGGCCAGAACATACCCGTGCGCTATGGGCAATGGGATAGCTCATTCAGCTTAGGCAAGGGGCTATCATGGTGAAGGGTCATGCTTAAGCCAGGCCCGTATGCCAAGCCTTCCTTAAGTGTCGGTGGCGCAGTGCCGGTCCATGCACTATCCCCATGAGCATGTGTGCACCCATGAGGAACCCTGGTAGCCATGCTAGCCATTAACCAGGGCCACCCCGCAAGGGATGTTGGTCTAGGAGTGCCAAGGTTAGGCACTCAAGGAGGTCGACCACCCCTCCTCAAAGAGTACGTTAAGCTTTTGGAGGTCTGCCTAAAGATAACATCACTTTTCCCAAAAATCTTACAGGTAAAAATAATGATGGTGTCCCTTAACGTAAGCCCGCCAAGCGTAGGCAAGGCTAAGCCCGTGTTAGACCGTGACATGAGGGCAGGTAGGCCAGTCCTACGAGGAGCAAATGAGGAAGGATGTCAGAGGCCCCGCGTTAGTACCCGAGGCGAAAACTCCAATGGTCAAGTTAGTATAGGTGCAATGTGAGGTGGACGAGGCCACAAAGGGAGTACGAGTTCTTAAATTCAAGTTCCAGTTCCAAATGTTTACCTTAAGGGGGTAGCGCTCTATTTATACTTGAGGCTGCCTGGAGGTATGTGAGCTCAGACGGTCAGGATGCAGTCCAGACATGAGGTGTGTGGTCATCCGAGGCCACCAAATGCACCCGCGCCATTGGTTCCGGGTTGCATGCTGACCTCTGTCCACGCGCTCCCTGATTGGGTCTGCTCTAAGCACCTCCTTCGAACACGCGCAGGCATCCTATTGGTCCGGGCCAGGTGCGCCTACATCACAAACCAAACCAGATCATAGTGAAATTGAATTAATGAGCCTAGCAACGATGATGTATCGGAAATTATCGGCTTCTGGGTCATCGATCGGGGTGTCGAGGTTGACGATGCAGACGATCGGAGGGTAGAGTGGGTTGTTATGGTGCTGGTTCTATAGAAACAAGACTTGGGAGACTTTGAGGATGAGCACGGTGAAGGATTGGAAGAGAGAGAGAGAAGAGAGGAGAGAGGAGAGACGAGAGGGAGAAATGGAGGGAGACGTGAAGGCGGCAACTCTGTTTCTCGCTTTCGACCACCGTTGATGACAGTGATGGCGGTGGGAGTGATTGTCCCCTTCTTCCCGAACCGGGATGACTCAACCTTGGGGTTCGTTCCAGACTTGGCACCTTGTCCGATCGGCAGTGGTGATGATGGTCCAATGAGCATCACCCGCTGCTTCTCGTTGCTCATGGGTTACGGTCCTGGCTTTTGGCATTGCATCATTACATGCCTTGAGACACGAACCCATTCTCAAATTTCTCATCCTTCCCCAAGAGGCCAAGATTTTACCAGTACCAATGAACATATATTTATATCATCAGCTAAATTATTCTGAAATATAAAGAACCATTATTAATATATTGGAATTTTATGAATCCATATTCGGATATTCCTAGTCATCGTTTTCCTGTTAATTTATTAGGGAGGGAAAAAAGAAAAGAACTAAAAAAAAATTAGGGAGAATGACCAATCAGCCCAGATCAGAATTTTATAGCCCCATATTATAGGAAAAATGCATCCTAACCTTGAACTGATACCAAATTCATGGACGGATAAGATGTAGGGGGGGCTAGAATTCAGAATTCTGCATCGGGTCTTTCCGTACTCCGAAAAACTGATGTTCTTCGGTGCTGGAAACAAGTTCTTGAGTTAGATTACATCACCAATCCTCACGTAGCTTAGGAGTTCAAAGTTCTCCGGTCCAAACACCAGCATCGATCTGTTTCCATTATTATGTCTCCCACCCAACCAAATACATCTTTGATGTTTTTGATGATTGAGGTGCACAGGTCGAGGTCGTCCATCTTTCCATCAGGAAATAGCACCGTACAACATCAAATTTTGTCAATACCACTTCATTTATGTCAGAAATGGCATCCTTGAGCTTAAACCAATTGAAGTATTTCCTAACCGAATAAACCTGTTCTGAAGTATCTCCATTGCCCCATTGGGATGGAATTTGTCTTCAGGAAGTTGATGAAGACTGCATACGTCTTAATTGCCCCCCATATCTAGTCGCAAATGCTGCTTGAACTAATCAAGTGGAGATTGATCAAGCAACTCAACAAACTTGGAAATGGAAGCATGGATGGGTGGCTACCAGTTATGCGCTCATCATATTTTGACTTCATTTATATGGTTGAACAGACGTCCACTTTTTTATCAAGTGCAGGAACTGCAGAAATAAGTGAAACTCCATCCTCACATGTCCATAGATCCAAATTTCCACAATAGCATCAGTCTTTCTGATGTGACCAACACCTTTCCGACGTTAAATATCTGAAAAACTTGATTTTTAGAGGTAAAGGGTGCTTGAGATTATATCTATTTCTAACATCTGAAAAGAGAAAAGACTGTTGAAATGGTAAAACCTGAACTCATGTCTTCTACCAAAAAGAAAAAATAAAAATAAAAACAAAAAATCTCGTATCTTATTAGAATCAGATGCATTTCAGACGTGATGAAATGATGTTAATACCTTCATTACTTTCATTTATTTAATAATAATAAATAATATTAATATTTGTTTAAATAATATTATTAAATATTAAAAAATATTGTTTAATAATAATCATTATAAGTATTATTAGTAAATATTTATTATTAATTGGACAATAAATCATATTATTATTTACATAAATAACAACATTTATTTAATAACAAAACTAATATTTATTTAAAATAATAATTATTATTTTATAATATTAAATATTATTATTTAATAATCATAATAAACATTATCATTTCTTTATTTAAATAAATAATAATATTACTAATAATATATATTTAGTAATAAGAATATCTAATAATATGTTTAACAATAATAATTAAAATTTTTTTATTCATTATTAGTTAATAATAATAAATAAATATTATTATTAATTAAATAATAAATTATTATTTATTTCAATAAATCATAATATTTTATTTAATATTCTTTTTATTATTATAATATTATCAAACTATTTATTTCTAAGGGTAAAATAATAAACTTCACAGTTTCAGATGTTGGAGAATTGCTCAAACTCAAACTATCTTATCTTTTCCATTAACAAGCTCATTTGGATGGCCCGCTGAACAGCCATCTCATTCAGCTAAATTAAACCTTGCTCTTTTCAGAGCTCTTAAAAGCAGAAAATCATCTCTTGTCGGAAATCAGACTTCAGATTTATCAAACGCCACCTTAGTTTCACAACCAAAACTCGTTTACAAAAGAGAAGATTTGTCTCTCATCTTTTATAGCATCATCTCTTGTTAGAGAATTCAATGAATAAGCAATATAGTTACTCGCCAGTAAAAAATGATAAGGATCAGTAAGATATCCGGAAACAAACATGAACACATATCTGACAAACATGCACTTCTTTTTTCATCTTCTTCATTTTTCTGGTGTGCGGACTGGGTTTGAGGTAACCTTGTCATGCATTTCGCAGAGATCCATGTGGATGCATTCAACTGGAGCTTCCATTTTATTCTGAAGCAAAAAGCCTGGCACTATAGATTATCATCTCCCCTGAAACCCTGCTTTGCAAATCCAAATGAGCTTGTTAATGGAAAAGTAGATCACAATATAGATATAAAAAGATGTAAATAAATTGGCAAGATTAGGACATAGAATAGGTCATTTTCTTTGTGATAACTAACATAGGAAAAATAATAAATTCTAAGTATAACAGATCATCTTGAGAAGTTGACAAAAAAATCACAGCAAAGTTGGTTTAGGAGTACATCCACATATAGATAGAAATATATCAAAATTATAAAAAGGACCTCCTCAACTGATTCTGAACTATCAACGACTACAGTGAAGATTCTATTGATTTTTTCCATTGGTAAAGGTTTGCCAAGGAAGAAGAGAAACATAGAATCTTAAAGGAGAAAAAGAGCTTTGAGGACCCCAAATCGCCCAAACCCATGATGAGGTATCTGCAACAATTAAATTGCCTAAGAACAAAAGAATTCTAGGCATAGAAAGAGAGACCCAAGCCCTTACTTTGATCTACTGAGCTCTCTTTGCAGAAGTTTTCCGAACTTGACAAAAAGACAACCCCCAACCAAGACCACTTCCCAACAGACACAAAAATACAATAGTCAAATTACATTTTACTCCCAACAACCTGTCACCGACCCCGCACAAAGCTGACCCCCCCCCCCAACACACACAAAGAAAGTAAATAAAGAAATGCTTTTTACCCCCAACACCTATATAATCAATACTGTTGTGTGGTGTTGGAACCATATATCATATAAGATAGCAATGTATGGGGTAATGGGGTTATTAATGTGACCTCCCTGTTATAATTTGTAAGTAATACAGACAACCAGGAAAATAAAGGATAGCTGGTAGGGAACCATTGGATCCCTCTCCATCTCCCATAATAGATCTCAAAAGCCAAACTCCAAAATTCTCTTCAACTCATTTAAAAATTTGAGGTTCCTGTCTAAATAGAACCATCTCAAACTTAATCAACTAACCCGTTATTTACACTGTAGGTGGTACAGAACTCTGCTTCCCCTTCAATTCTCTCTGAACATGAATCATGGTTCTTTTAGAGATTTTACTGTTTCTCTTCCAAATAAGAAGTCTATCCCTCGTTGCTTTCCAGGCAAGACAAAATACACAAATTCCAACTAATACTCTAATTCACCCAGTTTTCATCTATAGAAATTTCTTCAAACTTTTAGCAATAACAAAATTGACACATTGATTTTCTTTTTGAATTTCTAGGATGAGATTTCTGATATTTTTACCTTTTCCTTATAAGTAGCAGCATTTTCATTAATAAAATTTTATGTGAAAAGGAGTGGAACAACAAGGTATTCACTCCAAGATTATAGCCTGGTATACAATTACAGAAAGATCATTTTTTAACTTAGTGTCTGGAAATATTCTCCAATTAGCTCTATTGTCTTACATATTTTCATGGTTTTATATTTCGAACTTATATGTTTTTTAGTTCAGATTCCACACCTGATGAAAGAGGGAACTGTGTACCCATGTGCTTACTCCCTTGATTCTGGATTTTTCCTTCAATTTTACTTTCTTTGCTTCTGCCTTCTGCTATAACATTAGCATTAGGCAAGTTTTTTTTTTACATGAGTTGGTTTTCCATCAAATGTAGAGTTAGGCTCCCTTGATAGATGTTTTATTTCTTTCAGTCAACATGATAGGAACTTTGCGATGAATTTCATCTCAATAGATCAAAATTGACTATAACAACATTGTGATTTAATAATTTATGCTCCACCAAAATGAATATAGATATCCACTTGGTACTCTGCGAATAAGACGCTTTAAACTGGACATCTAACTTGATTTCATGGATTCACAATACATGAACTGCTTACAATTCACAAGCACAAGAAAAAGAAGAGCCAGAAAAACGAACTACAATATCAGCTCAATATATATCTTTATTTCAAGATATATAAAACCATATAACCATATGTGTGTAAAATCAAGAAAAGGAAAATTGAACTAGAGCTTACTTGCAGAATACATCATGCATGTAATTGAACTTCCAAATTCAATAGTCGCTTCATGAGCACATTGAGCCTGTGCATAGCCAAGTCCACAAACCCAAGCCAAGTTGGTAAAAGTTCATTTCAGCTAAGACCAAAGTAAATCCTATGAAGTTTTGCCTTGGTAGATTTCCATAATGCATGTTGTTGAATGGTGATCTGGTTAACTGGTTCTAGATGTTAGCATCTCATCCTTTTTTGTAGGATCACTGATATTGACTTCAGTTAAACCTACTATAGTACAATTAATACAAAGAGTTGGCCTATAATAATTAATAATCACCAGAGGGGCAGTTCACCAATAATCCCCACAAGAACAAGATCCACCTCTAAAATGGTGAAACCGACTACTATCCCTGACAACAATCTCTCGATCATAGACCTTTGAGATTAGCTTAATCACCAGATGACAGTCTCCGCACACTCTCAGGTTTTTAATCACTGTTATTGGAGTATGAGGGATGGTATTGATGAGTGCAAAGGCAATTGCAATCTTCTCACTATGATAACTCAAAGCATTCTCCTTTTCCTCTTCTTCTATGTCTGCAAGCACTGCTGATGTGTGAGGCACGTATCCTTCCAATTTTAATAGAATCATTATCTCCTCTAGTTTCTCATATATCTCCTTATTTTGTGGATGTGATCTATCCCCCATGACAAATTCATGGACACAATTCCCTAGCTCAACAAGGCTATGCCCAGGGAATTTCCTCACCCCTCTCCTTAACATTGTCTTCCTCACCTTTTGTGCATCTGACCACCTCCTCTCAGATGCATATAGATTTGAGAGGAGTACATAGTCCCCACAGTGTCTAGGTTCTAGTCTAAGAAGGTGGGCTCGTGCCACCTCTCCAAGAGTCAAATTCCCATGTATTGTGCAAGCACCAAGTAAGGTTCTCCAGATAACAGCATTGGACTTCAATGGCATGCTTTGAATAAAATCATGTGCCTCTTGTACCAACCCTGCCCTACCAAGCAAATCAACCATACAACCATAGTGCTCTATCTTAGGCACAATGCCATATTCCTCCTCCATCTTCTTAAAGTACCCAAACCCCTCATCCACCATTCCACAGTGACTACAAGCATATAAGACCCCAACAAAAGTAATCTCAGTAGGTTTTAGTCCTTCTCTCTCCAACTCCTCAAAAAGTTCGAGTGCTTCCTTACCAAACCCATTAACAGCCAAACCAACAATCAAGGAAGTCCAAGAGACTACGCTCTTCAGCTCCATTTCGTGAAAGATCATATGTGCTTCTCTAATACTTCCACACTTGGCATATAGATCTATAAGGGCATTCCCAGAATGCAAGTTCTCATTCAAGCCAACCTTAAACATGTATACATGGGCTCTCCGGCCCAAAGCCAAAGCTCCAAGCTCTGCACAAGCAGTAAGCAAGCTAACCATGGTGAACCCATCTGGCTTAACACCCTCAAAACACATTTCCCTGAAAAGGGTGAGAACCTCGTTAGGTCTCCCATTAACGGCAAACCCATTTATCACGCAATTCCAGGTCACCAGGTCTCTTTTGGGCGTTAGTTCAAACAACTTGTGTGCACGCTCATCAAGCCCACATGCAGCATACAGATGAACTAGTGCATTCTGAACAAAGACCAAGGACTCAAACCCATTCCTTATAACAATGCAATGTATCCCTTCACCTAGTCTAACATCCAATACCTTTGCACAAGCCTTGAGAAGAAAAGGGTAGGTATGGGTGTCAGGTTCAATACAAAGGAAGTGCATTTGGTGATAGAGTTCAATGGCTGGCCTGGGATTATCACTCTCAGCATAACCTCTGATCATTGTGTTCCAAGTGAAGATGTTAGGGTTCTGGATTTGGGAGAAGATATGGTGGGCATAGGTCATGGGGCCTGAAAGGGACACGAGAGTGAAGATGAGGTGCTTACCCAAGTCCGTGCTGGTAAGAGGGACACCATGTCTGATAGAGAAGGCATGGATTTGCTTCAGTTTGGGTTTGGAGGAGGCGCGTGAACGCAGGAGAGCAATACATGTCTTGAGTGTGTGGGACTTGGCGGTTTCTGGATGGCTTAGCGTGGAAAGTGAGAAAGAAAAAAAGGGTTTTCCGGGGTTACGAGCTAACACTGTCGAGAAAGAGAATCGAACAAACAAACAAAGGATTGCAGGTTTCTTGGTTTGCATTAGCAAACAAGCAAACAAAAAAGAGAGAAGAGACTTCAAGATTCAATCCATGGCTTTAATTGGTTATAATTCACATTCATTTTGGGTGGGGAGGTGACACTACCAGTTCTCTACTCTATCTGTTGCTAGTGAGAGGTGAGAGTGCCTAAGTGGTGAACGGAGGAACTGCTAGAGTCACGATTGCAGAGTTGAAGTTGTCCGCGGAGTTTCGATTTCTATTCAAGTTCGAAACGATGGTCAGGGCTGTCAATGGGTCGGGCCCGATCCGACGGATCCCATGAACCCGAATCTAAATAACACTAAGTGTTTGTCCGTTTCCTCGACTCGTCTCTTAAAGAGGAAATTTTTAACTCTAAGGCTCCGTTTGGTTTCTGGGATGGGGACGAGAAAAAGGGAATATTCTAAAAATACTATTTTCTCTCATTTGTTTTGAAGGAAAGAGAGGGATGGGATGAGAAAAATGTGGGATGTCAGATCCCAAAATCGTGCGACCCCAGTGGAAATTTTTGAGAAAGAGGAGGGAGTGAGGAATGACTTGTGTGGAAAATACAGAAGAGGAGCTGGTTCGGTGACAGTGACGTTCGAACCTAGAAGCAGGAGCTGGAGGGGTCGCACCAAAACCATCGGCGATCTACTACCTCCCCTTCCTTGAGGACGATCGCCTGGTGACGTTCTCTGCCGACGCCCCTCAAAGTGAGAATCTTTCATTTCAGCAAAGAAGCGATGCTGAAGCTAAAATCTAGAGTGATAATAACCAGTCGAGGCTGAGATTAACAGTCGAGGCTGAAACTGAGATTAACAGGTCCAGCGATACTGAAGCTGAGATTAACCGGCTGAAATCCAATGATACTGAACACTGAAGYTGAGATTAACCAGCGATACTGAAGCTGATAGTAACCCTCCTTCCAAAGCAACCACATTCCAAATGGTAGTGAACTGTCATCAGCGAATTGAACCCAATGGTCGCTTCTGCTAGGGAGATGCTTTCAGGGGATCTGCGGGCATGCGCGTTTCTACTGCACAGAAATGTAATCGCATACAACGATGCGACAGTGCGGCGGGTAGTGGAAGACTGGGAGAAGCATTATTCATCATCTCCGACGGCACTGTCTGAAGGTAGGAGATGATGAATAGTGTTTTTCCCATTATTTTCCCCATATAAAACCAAACAAGGGAAGTATAAATTTTTATACTTTCCCATCCCATCCCATCTCATCCCATCTTTTCCCACCTGACCTAAATCTTCCCACGAACCAAACGGAGCCTAAGAGAAAAATGGTTATTGATTTCCTCTTATCTCTTATCTCTTAAAGACAAACAAAAAACCCTTATATATGGGGTCAAAATGGATATTTGATAATTTTTAGAATTCAAACAACATTTTCTGCATTTAGAGTTCAGAGGAAAGAAAAGTTCACTAATACCAATATATCTGTTAATGTAATTATTACACTTTCAAATGTAAAACTTCAAAGCAAAAGAACAAGCCCTAAATATCGATGAAATTTGGATCTAGGTATATCTAGTGTATTCCTATCTGTTTGTATACCTACATGGAGATAAGCTCAATTAAGTTTACTGAATTGGGCTTGCAATTCAACCAAATAATAGAACATCTTTCCTTGTTTTTTCTATGATAACTATGAATTGTGCTACATCCCTAAATCAGGCTTGCTTAGTTGAGCTTGCAATTCAGCCAAACACAATACAATATCTCTTCTTGTTTTTTTTTTCTAAGATAACTATGAAATGTCTATCCTCACCTTTTCAATCAAAAAGTTTTGAGTTTTAGCAACCCTAGTTCATGGAAATTAAATTTTGTTTAGGGTTAAAGTATTTCTTAGTAAAGTAATCTATTATTCACCATGGGAACTATGGCTACCACAAAAGGGTTCCCGCATACCATATCTTTTCCGTATCATAGATTTTCCTTTCTTTATATGAGCAATGGAACAGAGAAGTATTCGCTCAAAAAACTTCAACAAAGTAAATAAATGAAAAAAAATTATATTCGTGTAGTTCCCTGGTCATGAATTCGCACCAAAGAGCAAATAAAACCACTAAAAGAAAATCAATTTTTTTTTATTTGGATAATTGGATGCTTTTATATACACTTTCTGAATGATTATTACACTTTGATAATTAAACTACTTTGTTCTATGCATTTTGAATTTCTAAAGTTATATTAAAAGCTACTTGTTCTCTATAATAGAACAAATAGAGATCCTTTTTGTTGAATTTCCTATTCATGCTACCCACCACAACCCTGAAGAAGTCTAATTTAATTCAAGGAGTCAAAGCTAACTCCCAAACTCTTAGTCACTTGGTTATAAGCACCAATAAAAAAATAAGTTGAATCTTGGGTGATCCAATACACTCAAAGTTCTCTCTTTATATATATACTTGCAGAGACCCGTATGACGTACGAGTTTTATTAAGCAAAAGCTAAACAATAGAAATATATAAGAGTACATAATTTTTTTGTATTTTAACTTTTTAATAACCAATTCGATAGAACTCGACCCGAGTTTATCGGTTTTTTAGTATTTTCCATTCAACTTTGATTCAACAACTTTCCAACCTGACCAAGTTAGATCAATTTCGATTTGGCCATTTATAAACTGACCAAAGCTGAACTGACCCGACCATAGATATATATTAACATTTTTTTATTTTAAATATGGTTTTTTTAATACTGGAAAGTGGGAAAATTCCCATATTTCTTAGTCTAAAATATTTTTATATAATAAATTTAATTCTTTTTAATTTATTTTTTAATAATACCACTATAATTTATTAAATTTAAATTCAATTTTTAAGCTTAAATATTTTGAACAAACAAACTAAATCGAAAATAGACCCAAACTGATACAACCCGACTTGACAGGTTGTCACTAATGGTCACTAATACAACCTGATTTGGTAGGCAAAACAGCCTGCGATCGAACTAAAACAATCCATGAACACTCATAATTTTAGCTAAATTAATAGTTTAATCTCCATTAGTTATTGAAAATTTATAGCAAAAATACACAATTATTGAAAATAAATTTCTAATGAAGATACGTTAATTAAAAAATACAATAAAAACTGAAAATATATTAAATTAGTCAATAAATTGTGTAATCTCAAATAATAGTTTAATCTCTAATAAATATTAATCAATAAATTATAAAACATATATAATTACTAAAAATAAATTGCTAACAAAAATACAATAAATTAAATTTTAGAAGTGAAATAATAGTTGTTTAATCTCCAATAATTATTAAAAATTTTCTGTTAAATAACAAAACAAAAATAGATTATTGAAAATATATTTATCAAAAAATACAATAAATAATTACTGATAATAAAATAAATATTAATTTTAGTACACAGAAATATATAATGAATATACATTACTATCGTCAAATTATTACTAATAAATATTAAATTTTTTGAAAGTTACTTTCTATAGTTATTAATTGATATAAGTGAAATTAGTTACTTACAATATTATTTAGTTATTTAAATGATATTGTTATTTAAATTGTTAAAATATTAATTATTTATTGAATTTAATAAATTATAATTAGTACTATTAGTAAATAATTCGTTATTAATTTTGTAAATATTAAATTATTATTAATATGAATATTATGAAATCTACTATAATTATTTTTCTACTTTTAAGAATTCTTTTTTTAATTTATGACACAATTTCGTTATTTTAACTATTTAAAATTTAGTCATGTTAAATATTTCACAATTTAAATATTTAAATAATATGTAAAATATTTAAAATTTTCCATTATTTGAATTTTATTTCTTTTAAAGTTATTATGTAATATTAAATATTTTGTTATATATTTAAAATTTTTAATGTTTTGTTATTGAAATATTAAAATAATGTTCTATTTTTAATATTAAATTTTTATTATTTGAATAACATTTAAATTGAATAATTCAGAAAATTATAATTTATATTGTTACTACATAATTTCATGATGAATTTTGTAAAAATATAGAATTATTAATAATATGAATATTATTAAATCTATTATAATTAATTTTTGTGTTTTGAATAAATATTTTAAAGTTAGTATATAATTTCGTTATAGTATTTAAATAATTCTGAATTTTTTTATTGGAACTTTCTTTAATTAGATAATAGATGAAAAGTGGGGGAGAGGATAAATAGGAATTAGAGATAGTTTAGGAGGGAATCTCTCTATTGAACTAGAGATAATTTAAGAGATAAATAGGGGTTAGAGAAAGTTTAGGAGATAAATAGAGTTCACATCTTTGCCCCACAACGTTCCATAGCACATCCCGCCATGTATTGGGAACATCTCCCGATGATGACATCATCAGTTCTAGTACTATCATCAGGGGATGTTCCCAATACATGATAGGGATGTGCTGTGGAACGTTATGGGGCAGAGATGTGTACTCAGATAAATAGGAATTAGAGACAATTTAGGAGAAAGTGGAGGAATGGTGCCTGTAAGTGCTGTGGTTAGGCTGTGTGAGAGTGGTCTCCTTGAAAGACAAAGGAAGACTGGAGGTAGGAACTAGGTTTGAAGGTTAGGGCAAATGAGGATGATAAGGTGATAAGATAGGATGATCGAATGATGACTTCTGTATGGGATGGTCTCTCATTTATAAGGAGAGATCCTGAGGTCCCGAAAGGAAGGAGTCAAAAGTGTTTGATTCCCATTAGGAAAGGGGAATATTGGATTTGCTATCGGTTATCAAGGAGCACTACTAGGGTTTCGTCACGTGTCTTATGAGATCCCTCAAAGGACTGACTTTCCTTTCATATGAGGATTCTCATAATCCGTGTGTGCTACTTCCTTTCGTGACCCATTTAACCAACGTGACACTAGTGACATCATTCATTAGTGGGCACATTTTTATTAGACCCACATGGCGTTTTATCACGTGCGTAACTTAAAGGAACACATGTAACTGATATTTATTCCTGGTTTACGATGACCCTGAGGTTCTATAATGGTCTCGAGTTCATTGCAAAACTGCGCACACCTGAAGTTCATCGTAAAATTGCACACACCTGAAGTTCATCGTAGAACTACGCATATCCGAGGTTTATCGCAGAACTACGTGCATCTAAAGTTCATCAAGAGTTCACATTAACCAAAGTTCATCGTGATTCGTCTTAAGTACAAGTTTGTCTCAATCG